CTGTATTTATGAGATGAGTGGCAGTAAGAATGACATCATTCCAAAAACGTTTTGGGACATTAGTGTGAAACACAATGGAGCCGGTAATGTCGAAGAGATGTCGATTTTTTCTTTCGGCTACCCCATTAATTGAGTGTCAGTACATGAGCTATGATGGAGGATGCTCTTACTTACCTAGAATTCTCCTAATATAGAGTTAAAAAATTCATAATCATTGTCAGTGCAAAGGACTTGAATAGGAGTTTTGAATTGGGTCAAAATGAAGGTGTTGAAGTTTTTAAAAGTGATCGCAGCTTCATATTTATCTCTTAAAATATAGACCAATGTCATCTGATTGTGATCATCAATCAAAATAAAGAACCATCATTTATTAGTGTAGCTAGGAGTTCGAGAAGGTCCCTATAAGTCATAATGAATAAGAGAGAAAAGAACAGAAGGTGTGTAATTGTGGGGCGAATAAGAAGCACGAGGTTTTTTAGCTAGTTGACAGGTTTCACATTTGAAATTAGAAGGATTTATATTATTAAATGTCAATGGATACAATTGTTTTAGATTGTGGAAACTAGGATGACCCAAATGACAGTTTAACAACATAATAGGACATTCAGTAAATTGAGATACACTATAACTACTTAGTGGAGTGTCATTGTTCTCCATGCTTCTTCTTGGAAGAAGTAGAGCCCGCTAACTTGCTTAGGAGTTCCAATTATCCTCCCCGAACAACAATCCTGAAAGACACAGACATCAGAGGAAAAATGAGCGACGCATCAATATCATATGTCAGTTTACTGATAGATAAAAAATTACATTTCAGCATAGGTACATGCAACACAGATTCCAAAGTTAGTTAGACCTGTTGTTAAAACAACATGTCATTTACCAGTAATGAAACTTTGGGACTTGTCAGCAATTTTAATAGTATATTTCCCTAAGCAAGAATAATATGCCGAGAAGGCTTGAGAGCTTCCAATCATGTGGTGCGTGACACCTGAAACAATGATTCATTGACTATGAGCAAAATAAGTGAGTTCATAGGATTGGTACATTGACGAATGTGGGAAGTCGGCGAATCGGAAGATTGGATCCAGGAAACTTGATTAAGTGCTCCATTTGACTTTTAAGAAAATTTGAGGTTTTTGGATCGTTCTAGGTAGAGGTTGGCTGTACTGTGTTGGATCTAGATGTCGTAGCGAGGCCCGTGGTAGCAGAAGATTTGGCCAAGGGTTTGGATGTAGGTTTTTCGTGGAGCTTCCAACACTGATCACGAGTATGGTTGGGTGTGTGACAAAAATTACATGTAGGATGACAAGCCCAGGGTTGAGCAGTATTAGAGACCAAGCCGGATGCCTCGACAGACGGAGTGGAAGTACCGAGCATGACAAGTCTCCGACTCTCTTCGCGATGAATCTCAGTGAAAGCAACCCGAGTAGAAGAAAGGGTACCCCGACCAAGGATATGGCCCCGGACTTCATCAAGATCTTTGTTGAGGCCTCCCAGAAATTGGAACATGCGCTTCTTTTCTACAACTTTCTAGAAAAGAAATAAGTTGACCGGAGATTCCCAAGTATAGTCATAATATAGATTGCATTTCATCCATAATGCAACTAGATCATTATAGTACTGGGTCACGGTCCTGGATCCTTGTTTTGTCTCACAGATTTTCTTAGATGCCTCATAGATTTGACTGGAATTCCCTGCGCCTGAGTAGGTATCACGGACTACAGTCCAGAGGGCACTTGCTAAAGGAATGAACATATATGATCGGCCAATAGAAGTTTCAATCGTTCCATCGAGTTGATCAGCCAGGACATGACCATGAAATTTTCTACTTCTCAATCTTCATATGTTGGGTCAGTTTTCGGAGGCTCGCGAATCATACTTGTGAGGTGATCGAACTTCTCGCGTCATTTGATAAATAAAGACACGGCTTGGGACCATTGGAGAAAGTTACTACCATTCAACTTATGGGTTTGTGATCAAGAAATTGTACATTTTCGGTCCTCTGGTTTGTAAGGGAGCAAAGGTTGGAATTGATCCTATGTAATCAAGCACACCTGTTGAAGGTAATTCAGTTTTGGTTGAATCTGACATAATTCTAACAGAGCCAAAGGATATGTTTTTGTGATTCCGAGACATCCATGAATTCCTGTAGGGCCCCGGTAGATGGATAAAACTTCAGGAATTTCTGCAGGATATCTTCAGGAAGATAAGCGGTCCTCACAGTTTCAGCGGTTGTTTGGTATCGCAGAAATAATACGGCAGTTGTTGGAAGGAAATAAAACAGCGGCAGGGAAAGAAATAAAACGCTGCTGTAGGAATTTTCTGTAGAAGCGGAAGGGAAAGAAATAAAACAACTGCAGTTGGAATTCAATAAAACAGCGCCAGGGAAAGAAATAGAACAGCTGCTCTTGAAACTTTCTGTAGAAGCGGCTGCTGCGTATGGCAGGGAGCTACATGGGAAGCCTTGAAATAGAAGATCAGCGATTGTTGAATCTTCCTGTAGAAATGTCACATGTAGGGCCAGGCAGAGAAGGTCGGCGGCTTGGTGGCAGCTGCTGGAACTGGCAAAGGAGGTCGGCGGCTGCTGGATCTAGGGTTAGGCTCTAATCTTATGTTAGAATAGAACGCAAGATGATTCTTATTGATGCAAAGAGGGGTATACCCATTATAGGATATATTAATAAAGAAACAAATAAAAACAGAATAAAGGAATAAAGAAAAGAAAATAAAAAGTAATTAATACAAGATCCTTTATTAATATATATTCTAATATTCTAACATAGACAATCAGGGGATGATGCATGAGGGCTGCCCAGGTTGATGGCAGCGAGGTGGAAGGGCAGAAATGATGGCAGCTGCAATGAGGATGCGTCCGGAAGCTAGCCGGCGGCTAGCTGGCCGGTGGGGGGGGCGATGGGTCTATTGGGAGGGTTGTGTGGGTTGCTGGGAGGATGGCGGCAAGGCTGGCAACTGTCTGGAGGCGTTAGCAACGAGGATGGAGGATTGGAACGGTGATGTGGGGTGCGGTGGGCTGTCAAATAACTAAAGGAAGGATGTCTTTGGCAGGGCAGCGAGGAAAAGGTTTGAACAACGAGGAAACTGTTGGAAAACAACAAAGAGACCACTATTAGCACGGCAGCAAGGAGGAATGTAAGACAACGAAGCAGGAGAGATGTAGGGGTGTTTGGGAAGAATAAAGGGCACCTGAAAATCAAGATACAGCTCTTGCAGGGAAGAAGAGACGTCAGCAGTTGTTCTAATACAAAACACATGCAAAACTAAACCTAGAGTCTTACGAAAATAAATATAAAATAATAAAATAACTAGGAGTGACCTAAGAGAACTGTTGACACCTCAACTGGGACCCCAATTATATCAGGTTCAGTCCAGTGTAATAGCGACTTTTTCTATTCGTGCAACTCTGCTCGGGAGCTGTAGTGCCCCCTATCGCGTTAGGTTTTTCATCCGGGCGGGGAGACAGAATCGAGAAATTTAAGGTAAGTTTAGGGTTTTTTTTAAAAAAAAAGATATTCTATTTATTTAATTTTATGTTATTAGTTTATATTAAACCTTATGAATTAATAACAAATATTAAGGTGTCAAGAAATCAAATTAAAAGCAATGAGAGGATAGATTGATAAAATAAGTTCTAGTATGGTAAGCTTAAGGTTAATTTTTGATTTGAGATTTGATATATTTAATTAAAAATATTAATTTTTATTTTTTTTGGGATAAATGTTAGAAACAGGTAAGGAATGATTTTTGTATTAGAAATTAAGGAAAAGAGGTAAAGATTTATGTATTTATGTACGTATGTAAGTTAAATGTTAAATTTTATAATTTGGATTCAATGATTAGATTTGAAAGGACACTTGATTTAAAAATGATGATTATGAAAAATATTTTATTTAATTAACTATATTTAAGTCAGTTATAGAAATAAGATCCTTATATATGTACTTTTATTTGATATAGGTGATAGTTAAATAAAGTAAAAGGGAAGATTAAGTTTTTAAAGTTGTCTTTGAAAGTTTAAGGTGAGTAATTATATTTTTAAATTTTAGTAATACTTTATTATTTCTAAATGTATTTTTTATTTAAAGTATGCTCTATTCCCATGTTATTTAAATTACAACAGATTTTTTATATTATTAGACAAGAAAATTTGCATGTTAAATAGTTGCACAATTATTTTCATATAAAGTGATTAGATTAGTGTATGACATTTAGATTTTAGTAGTTGTGTATATGTTAGATTATTATATGTCCTTTAGATTCTAGTAGAGATACATTTATTCATTGATAGATAAATACAAACTATCTTATAAGAAAATAATGTATGCTTGAAAGAATGAAATGAAAAAGTGTATGTATGAATGTCTTGTGTGTGCATGCTAAAAGGAGTTCATCCCCTTATGTCCTCACATGTATAGATGTTTTCCTACTATCTGAGACAATTGTATAAGTTAGATTACTAAATAGTTGTGTTGATAGTAGAGTATCGACCAGTGGTGGGTAAACACCCCACCACCTTAGACAACCGTGTAATTTGGATATTGAATCATTGTACCGAAGAGAGAATATCGGTTAGGAGTAGTCATATTTTCACCTCAGACAATAATGAACATGTTTTGCATCCTGTTGTGTCGACGGGTTATGTATCAACTAGGGGTGTTTTAGGTATAGACAGTGCTCTTGAAACAGATGTAAAATTTAAGAGTAAAACATATAATAAATTTTAAGAGGTTGCATTTTGAAATGTAATGTAAAAGTTGATGTATGTATAAAAATTTAGATTTTTTTCATGGGCATATTTAGATTTCTTCCATGATTAAATATGATGAATATATGATTTAAATTATTAAATAATTTTCTAGAATATATTAAGAAAGATCAATATACATATTGCCTTCTTTTACATGGGTTACTATAGTTTAGAAATGTAAATTCTCCATTGGATTATCATGTATAACTCGTTATAATGTTTTAATATTTTTCAGGTTCAAGATTTTAAATAAAAGATAGATACTAGAGGAGCGATTGCTTACAAAAGACGAGATCGACAACCCGAAAGATAAACTTTTCTTTGTTAATTAAATTATTTTTTGTATTGGCTCTTCTAATTAATATTTGGATGGTAAACTGTTAGTGATAGAAAATGAAAATAGAAAATTTTAATTTCATCATCCGACCATCCTATTCTCATATTGGAAATTTCAAGCCCTCCAGCCGGATCGTGACACATTTTAGACATTAATTGATTAGATCTGGAAAGAATAGAGAGTGAAATTACATAAGAGCATGGTATTGTGGTAATGCAAATGGAACTTACTTCATCGCAACGATTCTTCCCCGTTCAAGAAATGATTGTTTCTTGGGGCATTTACATATAGTACACAATTCTTATGTATTTAAATATCTCACACCTAAACATTCAAACTTACAAACATATCACTCAAATCATAATATAACATCTGGTATTGCCATTTTTAAAAGTCAAATACACCTTTTCATGCAAAGGTTTAAAGTGCACCAAAGTGTTATGTGTAAATATGAAGTTTAGGTTTGAGATATGTAAATACATAAAAATTGTTTACTACACATGTAAATTTCCCTTGTTTCTTCCCAAGAAATGACTGCTGTATTGAACACTAAATCTCTGTTTTTTTTCTTTGCACTTTTTTATCGCTTTTTAGCAGTAAATTTAATTCACTAACCAAATTTTTGTTCTTCATATAGAATTATGAATTTCATTGCATTTCATGTTATTAAGTGAAATGATGCTTTTGGAAAATTTTTCTGTGGTATTCTATGTGCTTAATCGGTTGCATTTAATATTAGATGGAATGTATTCTACACTGAAATTTTTTCTTCTAATTGCTAGCTCAGTGCATGCTTAAGCCTCAACGTTCTATTCTATGCAACCATTTCTTTAGGTCTGTAGAGAGTGGGAAGAAAAAGCACTAGAAGTTGATAAAGATGTAAGGTTGCTACTTATTCGTGTAGGTATTGTTTTGGGACAAGATGGTGGTGCTCTAGGTTTGTGCTAATACCTATTATATTTTATAGTACTTTTATGTCAGTTCTTGCATTGAGATTATGATTATGCTTGCCTTGTCTCTATTTTGATTTTTTTTTCTTAACTGGATATGCTTATTCGTAACCCATTTGATTATTTTTTATGACAAGACATTTGTGCATAACATCAAAATCTTTGGCCTTGAGCATAATGTAAGAATTTTGGGATCAAATTTCACAGAATGGCTTGCATTCATAAAAAACAATATCATTATGTCCACATTTTATTATAATTATTAATTCATGTATAGAAGAAGATGATAAGATTCTATTCATGCCCATAAGCACACTCATATCAACTTTTAATATCAAGCTGGCTAGTACAGAAATAAGGCTTTTTGCTTAATTTATTAATGCAGATATTACCTAACAATAAATTTATAATCTTGTTACTGATTTTCTTTTCTAAAATTAGTCCTCAACGTACATGGAAAACCATAATTCATGATACAAGATGGGCTCAATATACTTAAAGAAACTGCTATTGCTAGATTTAAACTTTAATCTTGCTTAACCAAACCACCTTAGTTTCCCTTTTAATCTCTTCCTTTTTTTGAGAAAGCTCAATGACTAATATATTAAATGAAAAGTAGGATACAGATAGATTGTGTGGGAGGGCCCAAACATGACACCCTCTCCACACGATAACCAACACATTCAAATAGTTCCAAAAAGGGAAAATACAAAAAAATACATGAGAGACAAAAAGAAAAAACCAAAAAGTGTCAAAATAAGGAGTATCAGGTAGCTAGAGAGCGACCCAATTTTTTCTTGCCTCTGTCTTTAGTTCTAGAGAATGAGTCAGCTAATAAATTGGTAAGATAAGCGTCATTGCCAGTGGTAACCAATGTGTCATCCAATAAATTTCAGAGCTCGAGTCGGTCTCCATTCTTCCTCTTCCTCTTGGAATAGACCTATCATTCCTTATTCAAAGAATGACTCACCTGATCAGTGGATTGTTTTAAAGTGTGTCGGACATGTGTAGGGCGTTGAACATTAAAAACAGCTACTTATTGTACCAACTGATCTTTAATCAGATCGAAGAACGCTCTCGTGTGTCTTGACATGTAAATGGGTATTCTTCAATAATAGTGAGTGGTATAAGCACATTTTGATCTGTACCTGTAGTATGTTGTTCTTCATCAGGAACTACGGTGCTGAAAATGATATGTTTAATGATGTGACCTTTTAATCCCTTCCTTAACCTTGTTTTCAACACATGTTAAATGATATGATCTTTTTCAAAATCAAGTAAATATCTAAAAAATTGAAATACATTTAGCAAATAATTGAGTTTTTCTGTAAGGCCAAGATAGTTTTTCTACACACCTTTTACAAAAACTTTTCCTAACGTTGAATTTAAAAATGTTCTATGGATCACACCCAAGGAATTGAGCATTGGACTGTTGAGAGGATTCAATAGTGAAATAAAAGTATAGTGCATAATAACACAAGTTTTTGGGGAAGGGATTATGTAATCCCTTCTTGAAGAAATGTTCCTCTATTTATAGATCATAGGGGGTGTCTAGTAAGTTTCATATTTATCTATGTTTTAATAGGAATGTTACAAGTAATTAATGCACCAATATATTTTTACATATTTGTAACTAGCTCTAGATTCTTTAATATTTGTAATTGTTGTTTACACTTTTTCGTATTCATAACTATTTGAAGTGAGCGTTAATAGTCCACTGATATTTACCATTCGATCGTTTAATAATCATTTGGTCGGCTGGAGGTTCTTCGGTCGACTAGAAGGTTATCGGTCAGCCTTCTCGAGAGAACCCTCTGTAGAAACCTTATCATTAGAATTAACTTAGACCATCAGGCAGAGGATGTGTCATCGTAATCTGATGTGCAACTCTCCTTCGGATAAGAGATCTTCATAGAGGGTTGGAAAGATGTTCTAAGGAGCGCCATTGGTCCTCTTTGTGAAAGATCCTAGTATCGACTGAGTGAGTTGATTACAAATCATTGTTTTTCTGATTAGGTGCATAAAGCTCTTTCATTTGGTTGTACTTTCTTTCGGTTGGCCCAATATTCCGACCAAAGGAAACGTACTTGCACCTCCGTCTTTCGATTTTTTTGACGTAGTCCTTTGGCATCTTCTTAGCGAGATTCGTTGAATTTCTTAATTAGTATGGTCATGTTTTTGATGTGCACCTAAAAACTCAATAATCTTTCATTTTTTAAGCCTCAAAGAAAACTTAAAAAATTCATTTTAAAAGTTCTAAATGCATATTTTAATTTATGAAAGAATGGTGTTTTTATAAATGTATTGGCTTGGTCCCTTCAATACCTTATTCTTTGGCCTTAATATTTGCTCCACCATCAATCTTGATCAAATGTGATGATGATGGCACAAGACAAGCCTAAGTAACATAAGGCCTATTCAACGTGTCTCGCTCATATTACAAGAATACACAACTGTCATCCATTTCACAAAGTGGACCCATGCTAATACAATGTGAAATCAAAATTAACTATAAAATAATCCCCATAGTACTCAATCAATCACACAAGTAAAAAATTTTTTCGCTAGATGAGGAAGAAATAACATATGCAATTACTTAAATTTTACGAGAAGAGAAATATCTAACTATTTTGGAGATAATTAACCCATTTCTCATTAAAATTATGATTTTTTGTAATGCTAAAAAGCTAACACCATCATCTATAACTTTTGTATTTTCCATTTTAGCCAACGCTAGAAGTTGCAAGTCAAGCAAGAGATACAAAGTCAAATGCATGATTTTGGATATCTTCTAATTAATTGGGGTAGACCTCTCATATTTCTTGTTAGAATCTTGTGATTTATGTGTCATTTGAAAACTAAATGATGTGGGAGCTTCCCTGCGATTTTGCTTGTCATTCCTACTAACGCGGGATAGCGAACTGTGACCAAATCCCATCTAGGTAGAGAGGTCCCAAAGATTTTTGTGATCCCACATGCGAGACGAGCGAAGCTTTCCTGTTATTTCACTAAAACAGACATTAAGAGCTCTATTTTTATTTATTTTTGAATTAGAATTGGGGTTATTTTGAGAATAGGCTAGTTATATAAGTTATTTTCCTGTTTGGTGGATTTATAGGTATTATTTTTGTGTTTTGGAGACTTTATTATCTAATTTATACTTTGTAGAGTATTTTATTTTTTTTTCATTTGTAAGTGGTGTGTTTGTGTCTTGCTTATGAACATATGGGAGACCACCCTGTCTTTTGTACCTGGCCGTTTTACCGTCGATCTATTGTTTTTAGCTGGATAGCCATCGAACTATTCTGAATTTTTTGTCCAATAGCAGATTTCATCATTTCCACTTTTGTTTCGACTCTCCCTACAACTCTCCTAACCCATTCCCTAACCTTCCCACACCCGACCAGTTGCCCTAGTTTTGCGTCTTCTAGAGGATATGTAGCGATAAATTCTCCGACTAGAATAAAGGCTTTCTATCTTTGAGAGAAGACAACCCAGACAAGCTACCCATAAATACGACGACAACTTGCCAGATTAAGAGGAGGAAGTAAATCTCTTCCACCATAAAGTTTTCAACGATGAAGACCAATACCCCAACATTTTGGCATGGAATATCAGAGAAGCCTGGATTTTTTAGTAAAAGTAGATTTACCAGATTTGATGGTTGCATGGATCTAAAAGAGTTTATTAAGTGACTCTAATATGCAAAACAAGTCTTTTGAGTACAATGACATTTCACTTAACAGAAGGGTGAAATTAGCCACTATTAAATTAAACAAGAGTGTGTTCTTATGGTGGGAAAGTTTGAAGCACCTTTGCCAACGAGATAAAAAGTAAAATCATAATCTAATCCAAGATGAAAAGGGAGATGCAATGCAGGTCTTTATTAGCACATTACAAATAGGACTTATGCTTGAGACTCCATCACTTATAGTAAAAAGATCTCAAAATACGTATGCATCTGAGTTTGAGCAATTTATGTTGAAATTTGAATAATTAGAACCCGAGGAGAACACCATAGTCGAACATAGAAGGGGATTGAAAATATCCGTCAACATTGTGATACAATCCCTATTGGACATTACATGATGTCCAAACCTTATCCTTGAGGGTGAAAAAAATAGCAACATCATCAGGTGATCGTCACACCTTATAGACAAAACTCAATCCTAGGATCAACCAACAAGAACATACCCATTGAAGCACCCAAATTGACCCTTCCCGAGGAGAAATCAATCTAAAATGGAGAAAGGTGGAGACCACCAGCACTTCCAAAACAATCCCAACCAGAAAGTCCATTATCACAATTTTGGGCACATTACATTTGATTGCACAAATATGAGGGTGATCTCTTTCACTGAGCTGTGAGCAATGCAAAATGTAGACAGTCACGCAAGAAACACTAGAGAAAGTGAAGACGCAAATGAGGAGTATCAATTTCCAACTGATAAGGGAGAGATACTAGAAATCTGGTGGGTCTTTCCAAGTGAGCCTACACGCGTACCTGTTTCACCGTGAAGAAAAAATGTGTGGTCTTATTGTCGATATAGAGAGTTGTGAAAATGTGATATCTGCACATGTGATGGATAATTTGAGCCTCACTACCTAGAAACATTTTCTTTTGTATTCACAGATTTGGTTGAAGAATGGCAACAAGATTAGTGTTGATAAGAGATGTTTGATAGAATTTTCAATTATAGATAAGTTGTAGGATCAAGTTTGGTGTGATGTTGTGCCTATGGATGTGTGTCGCATTCTTTTGGGCCCATCATGGCAGTATAACAATTGTACATTATATGATAGCCTTAAAAACAATTACTCATTTATTAGGGATTGGAAGCACATTTTACTTATGTCATTGAAGGAATCCACAGTAATATGCAGTGATTAATATGCATTGATTGATAATCAGACAATGACAAGAATTTTAATGCCTTGTGACGTAATTTTACATGCTATGAGTGAGGCACTAGTGGAGCTAGCCTTGGTGATGCTAGAAAACAATCTTAGAAAGAGTAGATCTTTGAGACAGTGCAACCTTTACTACAGAGTTTTAGGATTTTCTAACATACAATCTAACTTTAGTTTGTCACTGCTAAGAGAGATTCAGCATGTCATCACTTCAGAAAGAGGAGTAATTTTTAAGCTATTTTTGGAAGGCTCCAGGAAGTAAGATGAGTTCTATGTTCCAGTTCAGTTTAATTGTGCATTTCCAAACATGTTGTGAGATAGAAGTGGTGAATTGCTACTTGGGAAAACTTTGCAAGTGTTTTGTGGAAAAGAATATCCAACAGTGGGTTCTATGCTCTTCTGGAAACCTCTCCTTGGCAAGGAGAATGATGACGGGGCTTTCTCGATGATCCCACAGTTGTGGGATTCCTCAATTCATGAAATTGATTCCGTGAACAAAAGATAGCAAACCGGGATCGAATCCCATCTTCTGTAGAGGACTCATGAGATTTTTGTGATCCTGCACATGACACGAGCAGGGCTTTCTCGTTATTTCATTTTCACAGGCCTTTAGTTCCTTATTTTTATTTATTTTTGAATTATAATTGGGGTTAAGGCCTATTTAGATCTGTCAGTTTTCTTTTATGCAAACTTTTTGCTATTGCTTATGTGTTCTAGAGACTTTATTATCTGATTTATGCTCTTTGCATTATTGTATCATCTTTTTTTTGTAAGTGGTGTGTCTATATCTTGCTCCGGAATATGTGATGGATCCCTTTGCCTCGCTGTTTCAATGTCAAACTGCTGTTTTCAGCTGGACAGCTGTCGAATAGCACTGAATCTGCTTTCCAACAGCATATTTTGTTTTTTTCTGCTTTTGTTTCCCGTTCTACAACCTCC